ATTATTAATCCCGTACTCATCTGGATTGCTACGACGGTATAAGTGGCCGTAAATAGCCATGACGCGTGCGCTGGCAGACGCACAGAGATGTTGAAGCCGCAGACGAGCTGAGACCCGCATTGCGAAACCGCGACAGCCGTGGCTATAAACATCAAGAAATCACTACCTCCGATGCAAACATGCTGTATGCAGCTATGCACGCACGCCCCACGCCACACGCACGCAGTCATTATCCGTTAGTTAACGTCATGTCTGTTATAAGATATATGATTATATATATTATATATATTATATATTTATCATATTATATATAATATATATTATTATATATATTAATATATATATATATATATATTATATATATTGTATATAATATATTATATATATAAAACAATGTATATATATATATAAATAACACGTCTGTTATTATGTATTGATTTCGGCACTGCTGTTGGCAGGCGCTATTGACAGTGTTGTAGTATACGTACGCCGTCCTCACTCAAAGTCACGGTGCTGGGAGACATCCAGAACAGTTGTCACTAGTCTGAAGGATGCGCGACCTTACCGCCATTACCAAACGGTAAGCATCCACTGCGCGATGCGCTCGCGGTCGTCGAGTAACCATGGCGCCCATATAACAAACGAGCATCAGGTATCCATTACACACGCCTCTGCATCCTAGAGAATCCATTTTTAGTAACCACTGTGATAAACTGCTGAATGCATAATAACCTTCAAAATGGCTTCAGTTTGCTCCACCGCAATATCAAACGACAAAGCATGCAAGAAATCCAAACGTCGACATTCGACCAAAAAACGCCAAAAATAATCTCGAAAGCGGATCTAGCTTTAAAATAATCGAGAACAATTATACGCCTCCAGTGTTTATTCATTTTATCATCGCTCACATAATTTTATATTAGCCACTGCTTAAACGCAATAATCCGGTGAATTCTACATGATTTTAACGCAGCTACTAACGATCAACTCGCCGCTCATGAAATTATTATGACAACATTAGACTGGCACTGCCGCTGCACTTCGAATGCTCTGTATATATAAACAACTGCCTTGTAGTGCCTTGCGTGCTTAACAACGCGTGTCATTTAGCGGAACGGATTCGATGCGCAGATGCATTTGCACAGGACGTGTTTATAGGTCGCCGGCAAAAGCTTGTGTGCCTGCGTATGTGCTAATAATTGACGTCAGCATAGAGCCACGACTAATGTCGTTTACCAATTACTCTTTATCATTTCTTTTCCACTGAAGGACATTTACTATGCGACGCGGAGCTGCGTTCACTCATCAATTAACAGGCTGACTTTAAGATCCATGCCGTAGTGGAAGGTTAGTACTAAACAGTGTGTGTGTTGTTGTTGTGTGTGTGTGTGTGTGGTGTGTGTGTGTGTGTGTGTGTGTGCTGTGTGTGTGTGTTGTGTGTATGTGTGTGTGGTGTGTGCTGCTGGAGCGTCCGTTCACTGCATCAATTATACAGTGTCGACTTAAGCATCCATGCGTAGTGAAGGTTATTGGTACTACACAGTGTGGTGTGTGTGTGTGTGTCGTGTGATGTGCTGTGTGTCGTGGGTGTTGCGTGTGGTGTGTGTGTGTGGCGTGGTGTGTGTGTAGTGTGTGTGTGTGTGTGCTGTGTGCGCGAGCGTTGCGTATTCACTCATCAATTCATACAGGTGGACTTAAGCATCCCATGCGTAGCGAAGGTTAGTCACTAACAATTGGTGTGTGTGCTGCGCTGCGCGTGTGGTGTGTGTGTCGTGTGTGTGTGGTGTGTGTGCTATGGGTGAGCGTGCGTATCACTCATCGAATTATACAGGTGACTTAAGATCCATGCTATGGTGAAGCGTTAGCTGTACTAACAACACTGTTGCTGTGCTGTGTGTGTGTGCTCTTTTATGTGTGCTGTGTGTGTGTGTGACTGTGTGTTGTGCATGTGTGATGTGGCGTTGTGTCGCGTGGCTGTGTGTGTACGTTGCGTTCACTCGATCAATTATACAAGCGGACTTAGCATCCATGGTAGCAAAGGTTAGTACAACAGAGTGTGTGATGCTGTGTGTGTGTGTGTGTGCTGGCTGTGTTGTGTGCGTGTGGTGTGTGTGGTGACAACCGCATGCTTGTGTGGTGTGTGCAGCTGCTGTGTGTGTGTGTGTGTGCTCCGTGCGTGTGAAATTTGCTGTGTGGTGTCTGATGCTGGTGCGGTGTGTTGTGTGCTGTGTGTGTGTGTGTGTGTGTGCGTGGCGCCGGCGTGTGTGTGCCTGTGCGGTTGTGTGGCTGTGTGCCATGTGTGTGGTCGTGCGTGGTGTGTGTGTGTGTGTATGGTGGTGTGTGTGTATGTGCTGTCGTGATGTGCTCGCGGAGCGTGCTGTTTCACTCATTCAATTATACAGGTGACTTAATTATCCATGCGCTAAGCGAGGTTAGTACTAACAATGTGTGTGTGTGTGTGCATGTGTGGTGCGTGTGCGTGTTGCTTCGTGTGCCGTCGTGCGTCGTGGCGTCGTGCGTGGGCCGGTGCGCTGTGCGTTGCGCTGTGCGTCGTGCGTCGTGCGTCGCGCCGTGCCCGTCGTGCGTAGTGCTGTGCTGCGTGTGTGTGTTGTGTGCTGTGTGTGTTGCTGTTGTGTGCCCGTCCTGCGCCGCGCGTCTAGCTGTGTGTGTATGTGTTGCGCGCGTGTGTGACTGATGTGGTGTGTGTGTGTGTGTGTTGTGCGTGTTGTGTGCTGCGTGCGTGCCTGTGTGTGTGTGCCGTGTGTCGTGTGGCTTGTGGTGCTGTGCGTCGTGCGTCGTGGTCGTGCGCTCGTGCGTTGGTGCGTGTGCGTTGCTGCGTGGCGCTGTGCGTGTTGCGTGCTGCGTGCGCGTGCTGCGTATGTGTTTGTGTGTGTGTGTGCGCGCGCGCGCGCGCGCTGCGTGTGCTGTGTGTGTGTCGTGTGTGTGTGTGTGTGTGTGTGTGGACTGTGCGCCGCGCGCGTGCGTGTGTGTGTGTGTCGTTGGTGTGTTGCGCTAGTGTGTGTCAATGTGTGTGTGTGTGCGCGGGCGCTGCGTGTGTCGTGTGCGTGTGTGTTGTCATTACTAAATGGATACGTTCTGGTAGCATCCGTTCATTGCTGCAATTATTTGTGTGGATGTCCATTTAATCAACGGCCGTTGATCGACTCGATAGATTGAACAGCCCTATGTTATAATAGACGCGCCGTGACATGTGTTAGCTTGACAGGTCACATGCATGTATTCGCGCGTGAACATATGACTGCTATGTGCTGCGAGTAAACACCTTTATGTGGGTAGTTGTATAATGCCCATACAAATACTATGCAATACTGCATATGGGGGTAATACATATGGAGAAAAGGCGGAATTCAATGCGTGACCAAGTGTTTATACTTAGTTTGAATGAGTATTATTAATAAAGCGTCGTGCCCGTATGAGTATAGCGATGGGAAAAGTATAGCGACATATATGGCTAGCGCGACAGGAAGAATATATGGGTTAATTATACAGCATTGTAATCTATTTATTATATATGTAAATATTGTCTGAAGCTTGACTCAACAGTTTTTAATGCATTCGTCTGTTTCTTAGAAAATATTGATTCTACAATCAAGAGTCAGTGTACGTGCGCCTAGCGCGAGCATTCTACACAGACAAGCAGGAAATGTGAGCTATGTAAATGTGAGCTATGTAAATGTCAGCTATGTAAATGTGAGCTATGTAAATGTCAGCTATGTAAATGAGGTGTTTCGTTAAATTATAGGTGGCGTGCGCGCCATCTCGCGCCGGCCGTCCATGGCCAGAATACACTCCATGACGATAGAGGCACCGATTACAAAGGTAGCATGAACGAAACGCCGTCTCTCCTCTTTATTATCGACGTTTCTCACGCTGCTGCTGCTGCTGCTGCTACCGTTTGTCCATCTTTGCTCCCCACATTTACACGGTCACCCCGATTCCGCCTCCCTCGTGCCCGCCTTCTCAGTCTGTCTGTCGGTCTTTCCGTCCGAAACGCCGCTCCGTCCGTCCGTCCCGTCCGCTCGTCCGTCCGTTTGCTCCGTTCGCTCGATCCGCCCCCCGTTACGTCCGTTCGTCCGATTCATCCGTTCGTCCGTCCGTCCGTCCGGTCCGTCCGCTCCGCTCCGTCCGTCCGTCCGTCCGTCCGTTCATTCGTCTGTTTGTCCGTCCGTCTGTCTGTTTCTACGGCGTTTCCTTTCTCTCTGTGTATCTCTTTCTCTCCGTCCGTTCTTCATTGTGTGTCGGTCTATGTAATTGTATATTTGCTATTGCCTTCAGCACTCATTACCAGCGATATGCAGTGTCAGGTGTGTCCAAACCCCGTGTGTTTACACATACCATTCATTCCTGTTAACGATATTGTCGGTACATGGTGGCACTGTAGCCTTCATATATTTTTCCAGCTATTCAGCAAAACAGCATAACGTGTAAATATTACCTTACTAGAGGCTAAATTCGCACACATATAGATTTGCTGATTTTTTTTCTATGTCGGTGTCGCTGACAGGTAGTGAACATGATCTATATGGCGCAGGACAATTGTCCAAACACGGTGATACCGATCCTAGACAAGGTGATCGACATCCTACGCTCGTCGGAGCTGTATTCCCCTTTCACGGAGAATGTTAGCGAACAGGATGAGATGAGTAGCGAGTATGTGGAAGGTCTCATGTCGGTAGGTTTCACCACGTTGATCTCGCCTAGCGTAAATGTCGTCTAGTGTCTGTCTAGTTGTTTGTCTAGTTGTTTGTCTAGTTGTTTTGACGCGTAACAGTATTTACCGCGCGTTGTTGTTTATTACGACCTTATATTATTATTATTATTATTATTGTCAATATTATTATCAGGAGTGAATAATAAATAGATCTATAATCTGTTATTATTTACTCCTGTTATTATTATTATTATTATTATTATTATTATTATTATTAATACATAGTGACTTGGAAGGCGCTTATTTTATGTCATTCTAGTCTCAGGGCGTCTGTGTGACATTCATGTGATTCACGACTCTTTGTGTAACGAAGGTGGCTATACGAAACCGTTGGCGGATCAGGCGAATCCTTGCGGGAATCGGACCTGGCTTTCTGAGCTAAGCCACGCTCGTGATTGTCGGGGCGATTCGCTGGCGAGAAATGAAATTGACTATATTGTTTGACGTTGCAGAGGACAATGAGGAAGCATTCGCAGCAGGGTCTCGCATCGCCTGGTGGTGTGGGCACGGCAGTGAATGGTAAGGATAAGGATATAGCACGTTGATCCGGGGCTAAGGGATGCTGCACAATGAGAGAGTGTCGGGTTATAACGTGTGATTCGCGTTTTGCTTTCGATGGCACGACAACACATGCGTGCCAAGTTGTTTATGATTAGAGTTACGGTTGTGGTTGTGGTTTCCGTTATGGTTTGGGTCAGTGTTCGTGTTAGGATTAGGGCTATGGGTAGGGTTAGTGTTCAGGTTCGGGTTAGTGTCAGGGTTAGGGTTAGGGTTAGAATTAAGGTTAGGCTTATGCTTGGGCTTTGACTTGGAGCTAGGTCTAAGATTAGGGTTAATTTTAAGAATAAGACTAAATGTCAAGTCAAGGTTAAGGTTGATGTCGATGACAAGGTCAATGTCAATGTAAAGGTCATGGTTAAAGTTAGTAAGGATTATGGATGAGATACGGATAGACGATCTAGGATTATAGCTAGGGGTAATGCTATCGTTAGGGTTAGGGCTACGCTGACGATTAGGCTTAGGGTTAAGATTATGCGTATACACCCAGTACTCCGCGGATATCTACTCTACCCACTGTATGGAAAAATACTGACAGCTACTAGTGTCAGCAGACGACGCGATCAGCTGCTTCATTAACCATAGCGCTGCACTGTCGACTACTTGTCAAACAACAAGGGCAAGCTGAAAAGCTGACGGTAATTACCAATGACGTAGGATGTGATTAATTAATAGCAGTTCGTTAGCGATTTAAAAACTCCGATGGAATTGTCAAAGGAGCATGCACTGTGTTCGTTATATGAACCCAGGAGAATATGTGATTAGGAGTGTCATAATATCGAGCGTATATTATGACTATATTAGACTATATATACTGTATATAGACTGTAATAGACTATATATACTGTATATAGACTGTAATAGACTATATAGTCTATAGTAGACTATATAGTCTATATTATGACACTCCTGGTATGATTGCATTGAAACGACAGAAATCGTAGATTGCAAGTGTATAAACCCCATGAATGATGATGTTGATCGATCATGAACCTCATGAATGAGTTCATTTTCTATATCCTCCTTTTTTTCCAAGACGCACCCATCTTCGTTTCTTATTTTAACTATGCCGTCGCGTATAGGTTCTTCCTTTCTAATTAGCTTCCAAAAACGCTTAGTACTTTTCCTACCCGCTGATTTTATATTTATAACCTGTTGTTTTTCAAAGTCCGCTCGTTTATTTTCAAAAACTTTTGTTGCTATTTCTTTTTTCCTATGGTTAGTAGACTATATAGTCTATATTATGACACTCCTGGTATGATTGCATTGAAACGACAGAAATCGTAGATTGCAAGTGTATAAACCCCATGAATGATGATGTTGATCGATCATGAACCTCATGAATGAGTTCATTTTCTATATCCTCCTTTTTTTCCAAGACGCACCCATCTTCGTTTCTTATTTTAACTATGCCGTCGCGTATAGGTTCTTCCTTTCTAATTAGCTTCCAAAAACGCTTAGTACTTTTCCTACCCGCTGATTTTATATTTATAACCTGTTGTTTTTCAAAGTCCGCTCGTTTATTTTCAAAAACTTTTGTTGCTATTTCTTTTTTCCTATGGTACACTAATTTTGCTTTCTCCAATTTTTCTTTCCCAGAGGGCTTCCCCTCCAGAAAATCCTTCCCCATCTTCCTGAAAATTCTACAGACTGCTTGTCTATCCTGTCTGGCTCTCTTGCACTCCCCATCAAACCACAGTCTATCCTTCTACAGTCTTGCCTTGCCTGATGCTTTCCCAACACTTTTCCCTCTCACCCCATTTATGACTCTAATGATCTCTCTTTCTAATTCCTCTACTATTTGAGAAAGCTCAAGTAGCTCCTCAGATTTCCTAAATTTATTATCGCATTGCATTTGAAAACTCTCCCAGTTCGCGTCCCTGAGTTTCCATACTCTACTTTTACTTGTCTTCCGGACTTCCTTATTCTTACTCATCTTAATATTTAAGTAGATTATTATGGGGAAATGGTCAGAGTTAATGTCGATTTTCCCAGCGTCAAATATCCTATTTTCATCAATTCTCTTATCTGCCTTTCTATTTGTTAGCGCATAATCCACGACTGAGCGGAGGTTGTTGCGGCTCCATGTATATTTTCCACTACATCTGTTATCCTCGTTTAAGATTTTTAGACTGTTGTTCTCGACGAAATCCAGTAACCGCTGCCAATTACCATTTATAACTTCGTTCGCTAACCCAATATGTCCTTTAAAGTCGCCTATAATGATACAATTATAGTTTAATGACTGAAGTTTCTCAAATTGCTGTCTTAGCGTTTTATAGATAGCATCAGTCCATTTCCGATCTAGGCCTTCCCTGCCCGCATATACAATGCCAAAAGCCCGTTTCTCTCCCCCCAGTGCTTCGCCCACCCACCCTGTTTCTGCTTTTGTAATATCTTTACTGAGATTGTTCACATTCTTTAAAGGCTCTAATTTTAAGTTAGCATTCAAGGTGAAGCCTATCCCTCCCCCTTTTTTCTGACCTTTTTTCCTATTCCAGCCCACCCAGTCTATGCCATTTTTCTTAAATGGGTTGGGTTAAAAATCATCCCTGAAAAACTTTTCTCTTACTCCTAGAATGCCTAACCTATCTCTCTGGAACCAATCAATTACATCTACAGCTTTATTTTTTGATTTTAAACAGTTAACATTTAGCCATTCTATTCTTAACGTTTTGCCTCCTTTGACTCCCTCCTTATCTACTTTATTTTCATTTGCATGCTCCACATCCACTACTTCCGTGCGACCATCAATGTTGGGTGATTTATTGCTTAAATAACTGCCCTGCACTTCTAGAATAATCTGTGCTTGTCTGGCTGCCTTGTGCCCCCCCCCCCATTTAGTTTCTCTGGTGTGCCGATATGAAATTTCTTGCCAGGCGAGCTCCTCCCTTCCTATTTAGATGGAGGCTATCGGGGGCATACAGGTCTTCTCGGTCCAAGAAACCTAGCCAATTGTCCAAGAAAGAGGAGCCACTTATGTTGCCATCGTATTGTTTAGGGACATTATCTTTCGGTTCGAGTGCATTGATCTAAAGCAGGGGAGTATACCTGACACTACCAGTTTGCCCGTTACTCTTTCTCTTGCTTTCTCCAACAAGCTTAGCAACTCCTCACTGGCCTCTTCCAATTTCCTGTTAAGGACATCATTTATACCTACATGGAGGATTACTGTGCCTTTACCATCCTCTTTATCTATTATACCTGCTAGCCTTTCTTTAAATTGACTACGTCACGAATTTCCTATAATAAAATGTGTAAAAAAAATTGCCATTTTTTTACATTAAAAGTAAGAACTAACGTTACTAAATATATTCTCAAACTCTCACCTGATAAAAATGTTTTTACGTTGGTTAAATTTGCAAAAATCTAGACGATTTGGTAATTTCTGTTGTCTAACAGTATTAACACTATTCCCCCAGTAC